GACGATCCGGCTTCGCAGTAGTAACCCCCAGATGGACATGGCCCGAAATCTTCACTACTCACTACTCCCAGGAGTGGCAGTTATTGCTCTTGTCTTACACCAGTAGCCTGCCGCACACAGGCCAGTAACATTAGACAACTTCGCTTGGACACAGTAATGACCCGGAGTGCAACCCGTGCATTCATTTTCTTCTTCTAAACCTTCGCGACTGCCAAACGTTCCTTTTGGACACGGAACTGGAACACCATTCTCTCGAACATCATTTCCTATAATGCAGTAGGATCCACGAGGGCAAGGCAGAGGAACGTCAGAGCCTCGAGGACAGTATTTGCCGGCGGGGCATACTGTACATTCAAACATCCCAGTTTTATCAGCATAATAACCTAAAAAATAATTCAATATAAATAAAAAGCCTGTTCTTGCATGAACAAAAATATGAGTGACTATCAATTTCCCCACATATTCCGACTGATTGTACATGTGATCAAACTATCAAATGATTACAGTGATTATGTAACATCATTATACAGGGTGAATAAAAAAAACGTAATCGAACTTCAGCGCGCTATTATACGTGAATTACTCGGCGTATGAACAATTCAGTTTCATATCATCAACAGCTAAAAGCATGAACTTTTCGAATGTGAAAAAATCTCGTTCATACGCAGAGTAATTCAGATACAATAGCGCGCTGAAGTTCGATTATCTTTTTTTATACACCCTGTCGTATTTTCAAGGGCGGGTTGAGTACAAAATGTTTGTAGTTCCCTAGTCAGCGACAACTACTGCTACGTAGCCTGCGTAGCTGGCGGTTTTAAGGGTTGGGTTGAGGCGTTTCTCGCCCGCATTTTCCCCTTTGCCACGCCTCACCTCCCTAATTTTTGTTCCCCGCGCCTTAACCCCAACCCTTAAAACCGCCAGCTACAGACTAACTGCTACGTGACTCGAAATGTAGTTCGCTACTGTATAGCAAATTGACTTGTAGCAATGCTGTTCCAACAACTTGTCAACAGGATGTGTTCGCACTGCTTGTTCCCAGCTTCTTGATAAGTTGTCTACGGCTTGCTGACAACTTGCTGCAAGGTACGTTATTGAGCTCAACAAACTTGTCACAAGTTGTTCCAACAACTTGTTATCGTCCTGCAATTCAACAGTTTGTCAACAAGTTGTGAGTGACAACCTTGTAACAACTTGATAAAATAACAGCATTACGACTTGTTCACAAGCTTGCTACAAGCTTGTTGCGAACACATCTTGTTGTCAATCATCATACAATACAATGCAATATGCAATGCAACGCAACGCAACGCAACGTAACATAACACAACACAATCTGTGTTGTCTGGTATCAACATACATATCAGTATGTTGCATGGTATTTACAATACAATACAATAAAATTTATTTAAACACGGTAGAATCTTCAGTACAGTAATTACAATACAATAAAATTTATTTAAACATGGTAGAATAAGAAATAAGATAAATTAAATATAAAAATAGCAAATTAATCTAGATACTGGTTTACAAGATTGCCGTGTGGGAGTCGGTTTAAGTTTGTAAATACTCATTTACTGCTTTCTTGAACTGAGAGAACGATTTAAGCCTTCGTATGTTGTGGGGGAGAGTATTCCACAACACTGCTCCGCTATAGCAAAAACTTCGTTTTAAGTAATTTGTTCGCGGCTTGGGCAAGTTTAATTTCATTTCAGAATTTCGTATATTATAGTCCAAGCCACGAACAGAAAAATAATCTTCTAGATAGGTGGGCATATTTCCATTCATTGTCTTAAAAACAAATTTAGCTTTGTGTTTTTTTTCCGTCGTAAGGAAAGATTATCGCAAAGTATTATACACAAAGTATCTAGAAGTATGCCTGCATTGGCATCATTATTTGTCCTCAAGATGACCCTTGCCGCTCGGTTCTGGAGTTTTTGTAATTTACAACTCAGTGTTTCACCAAGACGTGAAACTAAGAGGATAAAAAATTTGCACGCTTTGGCAGTGAGATTCGGCGTGATACAATAATCTGTTACGTGTCAATTGATAAATATTTGAAACTAAAGTAGCAAATAGCGATTGTTCGCTGATAAGTAATAAACTACACGTGTAAAAAGTATAAGCCTGTTAACAGTTTAACAGGATTGAACAATGTTGTGCGGCCCAAATTGTTCACACTTGTCAACAATATTGAACAATATTGTTGAGCCTGAATCGGGTGTAACAATATTGTTGAACATTGTCAGCCTCGTACCCAGGCGCAAATAACGTACTAAAAAACAGCAACACTACAGGTTTTTTATATAGATCAGTGGCTGAGCGAGCGCGCGGGGGTGCTTGGGCGCTCTCTTAGCCACTGATCTATATAAAAACACTGTAGTGTTGCTAATTTTTAGTACGTTATTTGCGCCTGGGTACGAGGCTGGAACATTGTTGACAAGTGTGAACAATGTGGGCCGCACAACATTGTTCAATCCTGTTTTCATCAATATTGCAACAACCTGATCGTTTTTAGCTGTGTACTGAGAAATGAAAAATGTAATTCGCTACAGCTACAACTACTGTTTTAAAAAAGCAGTTAAAAACTACTCGCCACTTGAAAATTGTAAATTGCTACAGCAGCGAACCACAATAGACCTTATGCATAATGACGTCACAAGGCTTGATGCCCGCGAGGAATGCTGGTCTTAGTAGTCATCGCCCAAGAATATTTTAATTTTCCCGGGCGAAGACTACTAAGACCAGCATTCCTCGCGGGCATCAAGCCTTGTGATGTCATTATGCATAAGGCCTATTAGCCATTTCCCAATCGAGCAGAGGACAATAAACAACATGGAAGTTTTCCTACATTCCTAAAGTTATTTGTGCGGCCTGAAACGCAACAATTATAATAAGGCATCTTTTAATATATATTTAGCTCGCTCAGTATAATTTGTTGTCCCTCCAAACGTCCCTACAAACATCAACTAGATCCAGTCATCTGCTCGATTAGGAAATGGCTAATTACTTCGCTACTACCATTCACCCTTGTTAATTTTCAAAATTGGTTCTTCAAGAGCTGGTGAAGTCAAAACGAAATGGGTTATTCTGAGAGTTTCTTAACCTTTTCAACAGGTGTTAAATCAGACAAAAAATCCATCAAGAAAATAACCTCGTGCAAAATAGTCCGGGGGAGGACATGTCACACCACGCTAAGGGATTCACCGCCTAGTATAGTAGAAATGAAGTAAGAAGCAATGTCTAATTTACCTTCTTTGCATGGGTTATCAGGACTCTTTGATCCTTTTTCACAATAATTTCCTTTAGGACACAGTCCACCATGAGTGCCATTGTTTGGCTCAGAGAGAGGCGATCCTCGCCGGCAGTAGTAGCCTGGAGAACAATCCCCGGTAACTCGAATTAGACCAGTATCGTTACAAAATTTACCGTCGTCACATGGAGTGCAATCGTCTACACTTTTCCCGCCTTTTCCTAACCTAAGAGCAATTAATACAATTACAATCACCAGACAGAATGAATCATAATCTTCATATTCTCTGTGTGTAACGAACTTGCATGGAAGTGAGTTTCAGTTAAATATTTATATGCTGCTATACATATGCATAGTGATCAACTTCAAATGCATTGACACTGGAGCCTCGTTTACATAATCATCACAAAAATCAAATGCTCCAAATTTATTTTAACACAATTTGCAATTAGTGGAAAAAAGCCTTTGTAATAAGCGTTCCCTTAATTACATATTCATTCTCAGAGAAATATGAACAGAAAGTCTCCACCATGATTCTTAATGAACTCGCACTTTCGGGACTCAAGTCTACCGTTAATTCTACATGCAGAATTGGAGGAATTCCGATTCTACTGTATTACAGCTTCGGGTTCGATTCTATTACAGTTTTTTTTAGACATTCTCTTCGTGTTTTTGCAAGGATGGCTCAGTACTCCAACTATGTAATGAAACAAAACACTGCACATCTTTGCATGGATAGCGTTTACGTAGTTGCAAAAAAAATTCGTGCAACTAAAATGGAATAAAATCGCCCCAATCTCTGTTGAAAGTGGTGTGAGTGTAAATCCCCCCTCGTGTCAAATTTTACAGTTGACTTTCTTCAGTGTAAGAAATCATGTTGGAGTTCCATTAATTAACCTGTCTACAAAACTTTCCTCTATAAATATAATTTTGATCTAACTATATGTGAGGGATTGCTTCAACCTGGCTCAACTTTGGGTAGGTTTTCTCAGTATTCATTCCTCCTGTATAACAATATCTCCATATGGATAGCTCTTATTGTTCACTTAAGGAAATAGCTTTTTCAATGTTAAATTTAGTTCAGTTCAGTTAAGTTGGGTTTTCTTTAACTTTGGTTTAGTTTCTTTTAGTTTAAAATATATTCTAACCTGTATGTTCCCTTAGGACACGGTATTTCATACGTCGCTCCTTCCTCACAGTAGTGACCTGCGTCACAGAGTTTTCCCCACTCTAATTTCCCTTTTACAAATGCAGGATCTTTGCCTTGGGCTCGACCGAAACAGATATGGCCAGCACTGCATTTCCCTGAAAGAAAAGAAAATATGTCACTATATATACATATCATTTGTTCAATAATTTTAATAACTTATTTATTGTTGAACATCACTGAGAACAATATTGCTCAAGTCAAAAGCGCCATGATCGACTCGGATTCTTTTGTTCTCAGAGAAAAGATAAACATTGTATTTCCCTCATTGTTCATACATAAAGGACGTTTTCAGTCCCTTTGTCTTCTAATCTGCCCGCACTCATATTGATATGCAAGACGGAAACTAGTACTAAGGAACAAAGATTTTCTTTGACTTCTAATCGCTCATATACATGTTGATGAAGGAAAATTAAAAGAAACAAGACGCTCCATAGAGCGTTAACTCGCTGGGGCTATATACAAATACGCACATTACCATGTATGATCCCAAGCTAAGCGGGAAACTGAGCGCGAGTTTTGTTCACTCTGTTTTGAACCATATCAACATATAACAGTGCTCTGCAGTTTATTTAGGTGAATACCATGTTATAATATTGTTTATTATCCCACTGATTTGCATTGTGCCCCAATGGCAATCATGCACCCTACTTTATTATTAAACCAGTCGATTTTGCTTGTTAATTAAGGTGAGAGTGCATGCTGCCGCTCTCAAATTAGTAGGCTTGTATTGCAGGTAGGTGGCTCAGTTTTGAAGTTTCTGTTAGTATAATGACCTCAGTTCAGGACTTATACAATCAGAAACAGTACTATTACATGTGGTCTACAAATAAAACTTCCTGCGTTTCCGCCGGCTAGGATTAAACTGCGCTTAAAAACGTTCAAAATAATTTTTGGCTAGGGTTAAACTGCACTTAAAAACGTGCGAAATATAATATTTTTGGGCTCAAAATACTATCAAAATGAAGAGAGAAGTGAGACGAATCTACTGGTGTACGGACGAAAAAGGGAAAACCAACGATACCAAAGTTATCAAGGATCAAACGTACTGCATTTTTTATAATTAGTTTAATATAAATTTTGAGCGATTTGTTAACAATACAATTTCGCTTGGCTTTCAAAGACAAACGCCATAAACCGCTAGAATACTGTTGTGTAGTAATACATTTGACATCCGTAAGTACAATTTCTTACGCTGAATCGAACGGTGATATTTTTATCCTTATTGCGCCATTAGACAGTACAAATACGAAGTCAAACGTACTGCGAGTGTCGAGTGATTGTCAACAACAGTAAACACATACTGCGAGAGGTCTGCGAGCGATTTAATAGTCAACAATACAATTTCGTTTGATTTTCAAAGGCCATAAATTGCTAGAATATTGTTGTTTAGTAATACATTTGACATCCGTAAGTACAATTTCTTGCACTGAATCAAACGGTGGTATTTTTTCCTTATTGCGCCATTAGATTAAGCATTACAATTACAATATCATATTTCACACTGCAGTTTACGTTCACAGCTAACTATAAGTATTTAGGCCTTAGAGACTGTTGTTGGATAAATTTTATATTGATATGACACCAATATGCTTCTCATCAAGTAGTTATCTATTAAAACTACGTTATGTAGTTTAAGTTATAACCTTTTACCTTGAAATTGTGCATGTCTTTGGCTCGTTTATATTCAGATTCAGTATATTATATGATCGTGCACAGGAATTCAAGTTATTCAACGATCCAAATTTCGGATTTTCAGAGTCGTGCACCAAGAAAAATGCATTAACTAAACTAGCAAGAATGTCCAAAGTTAGACACAATGCTAAATCCATAGAAAACAGGTACAATTCGTTGAAAATTTTAACGAAATTGTTCGAAACACTTTGCTCACTCCACCAAGGCCGCCATTTTGAAAAGGATAAAGTGGGTAGCTCATTAATATTCTATTTTGTGGCTATACAAGAAAATTGCGATCCACTATTGGAAATCCACTAAAAATGTGTGCCGAAACCTATACTCGCCCGGGCACAGGTGCCCCAGCGAGTAAAAATCCTTCGACTCTGTTAGCAACTAAATTCCTTGCGAGCATATATATATAGTCATTGTTTCACTCATGAGTCCTGGTGAGTGCAATTAGTGAAAAATTGCACCCCTCTTATATAGAAGTGGAAAAAAATTGCATTCCAATCGGGTTGCAGCAATTTTGTCATGTAGTACGTACAGTAATAAATAAACTAATATGGGCGATTCAATCAAAATCATTGTGAGATCATATATTGCTTGTATATATGCGCAGACATAATACTAATGTAAATTAATTTTCTGCTACTGATTTCCGTTTGAGGTTCGCAAATACTTGGTGATCATAGTATTACAAACTGATAACACGACTATTCTGGATTGTATAGCGAGGAAATATTTGCATGTTAGCTCAAACAAAACATCAACTTTTACAAAAGTAAAGTTATAGGTTTTTAAAAAATAATTTAAAGTGAGCAAGAATAATAAGACAACAGTGAGAACGTGTATAATACATTGGCCGCGAGTTTGCCTAAATATTGACCAAAACAGTTAATAACCTAGTTTTCACGAAAACGAAAGTGTGTCACAATAAAAATATATTTTTAGTTTAAGTCTTTTTTAATTTCAAGATGGTTTGACATACTAGACTGATAACACTCTGCCGGACATTACATACAAATGTTGAATTTCCCGCGCCTTATTTTTTAACAAAAATGATAGCTCAATATCGTAAAAAACAACGCACAGCAGGCTTTAAGAAATGATTGGGCGTAAGTTCTAGAAATGATCTACACATGTATAATAACACCTTATTGAAACCACCAACCTTCTGGCAGTAGATTAGCAGCGCCTTGACAAAACCATCCAGTGGGACACGATTTACAACTATCATTAAGAGACGATCCCCCTGTATAATTATTAAACGTTCCTGGTGGACACGCGTACGTCCTGTGGCTCCCTTCAGGACAATAGTAACCTTCTGGGCAAACACTCTTGTTCGTCATTTTATTGCTTGGACAGTAATATCCAGCATCGCAAGTGAAACACTGACTTTGTTTCTCGTATGGATTATAGAATCCCGGTTGACAAGGCTGTGCTTCAGACGAGCCGGCCGGGGTAAAGTATCCAGCTTTGGTTATGGTTTTGTTGGGAGTTTGCGATCCGCTAGTGCAGTAATACCCAGCAGTACACGGACCATCTGGACGTGGTTGACTTGCATCTGCACAATAGAATCCTGCGTCACATGATGCACAATCCTGGTTATTTGTTGCTCCACCAGTCACACTGTAAGTGCCTGCAGGACAGGGTTGAGACTTGAATGATCCAATAGTACAGAAACCACCGCGAGGGCAAATCTGTCGAGCAATAAAAATGTAATTACAAAAGGCTTGGTTATGTCAGGAATTATCACATACAGTAGAATAACTGTCGTTTTACCTCAATGTATATACTTACGCTGTACCCCTTGCCAACGTTTGAAAACAAGTTTATGCAAAACAAATTTTATGTAAAATTTGTCTAGATTCTAGATATAATCGCCAGTGGCGTAGCCAGCCCAACAATTTAGTCCCGCTATGCAAATTCAAAATTATTATCATTATTCATTTCTTTAGAAATTGATTGATTTCACAGTCAATGAACACGAAAATATTTGCATAGCGGGATTAAATCGTCTGGCTGGCTACGCTAATGATAATCGCAAGACTTGATGCCAACTAGAACGTACAACTACCGTATAACCCTATTTTTTAGTCATGCCTACATGTATATAAAGTTAATAAACTAAAACTAACTGGCTAGTGCTAAAAGAATTTTAAAAACAAATGCAACAACTAAGCTTTAAAAATAACAAAATCAACAGCAACGACTAAAACTGAACAACAAGACTAAAATATCTTGTCCTATCACTGAAAACTGGGACGGAACAAAAACTACTGAATTGTTTAAAATTGAGATAAAAACTTAACTTTATAGTCAACAGATTGTATGTTCACGAATTTAGGAAGTATTCATGTATGACTATAAGCCGTTTATTCAAGCGTGCCGCACGCTCCTAATTCAACCAAAAGTTGTTCAGGACAAAAATGCAAATATTGCATGCAAATGCAATATTGCATGTGATATGTTGGCTTTTGGAGGTGACTGCGGACGCGACTTCAAAAAATAAACTTTTTAATATAAAATATTAGTCAAGCAAAAGAGAATTGTTACTTTAAACTACAACTTAAAAACACAAGCAAATGGGCAGGAAGAAAGGAAGTTTATGATTATTCAAGAACCATTACATCCAAGGAGGGACATTGACAGAATATGAAAAGAAATAACAGAAGAAGAGGACTATAAGTTGCAAATATTGCCTACGAGCGAAGGAAAATTCCCTTGAATCGTATTTGTGTCAAACGCACTGGGTCAAACGTACAAGCCGCTGTCCAGGTGATCTGACGGTGAGCAAAAGGACTGGGACTAGCAAAAGAATAGAAATACAGAACTTTAGTCACTTGTCACGCCCTGATTCTTTTGTGAAACTGTTTGAAACTTTGTGTCTGTGTCTTGCACAGGGAAATGAATGTCTGGGACAAAGTTTTTACAACTAGTGCCAGGCCTCCTCCGAGTTCCGAGATCACCTGGGTTGCAAAAATGCAAGACAATTATGAAAGCAGTTCATGCAGAAGGAAGGGAGGAATCGTTGATATTGGAAAACAAAGGAGAGGAGAAAAAAGTGCAATAGTGCATTCAGTTCTACAGGAACTCTGATTTAGAACAAATTTGTTATTGACTGAGAAAAGGATATTATTTCAAGAAAGCGAAGGAAGGTGTTATAATGGCAGAACTATAATAGCCCATCAGAACAAGCTCACATCGACAAAGAGAATATCTATATGTAAATGTATAAGAACTAGTAAGTTAACAACACAGTATACGAACTGGCAACACGACAAAAATTGCCTATTGGCAACTGTACAAAACTCATGACCTATGTAGTTGCCGTGCTGAGTGGTTATATTACTACCTGAAAAAAACTGACAAGCGAAACTCGACGTTTCGAGCGAAGGTCCTTCGTCAAGACTACTAACTCTTGGCGAAGGGCCTTCGCTCGAAACGTCGAGTTTCTGCTTGTTTTTTTTTCAGGTAGTAATATAACCACTCAGCACAGCAAGTTCACGTCGGTACTACCCATTTAGTATATATTTGACATACAGTATGTAGTGCACAGATAAGTAGTACACTATAGTACAGTACGTATATACAACTATTTCAATTAAGGTTGTCCCCCGAGCAAAGCGGGAAAGTCGAATACGAGCGCGAAAGGCTGCTGGGAATCGCTAATAAATTCATTCATTTATTAGTGATTCCCAGCAGCCTTTCGCGCTCGTATTCGACTTTTCCGCTTTACTCGGAGGACAACCTTAATTGAAATAGCTGTATACAACATATAAGATAACTAAAAACAAAAAGGTTAAAATCTTTGGGGAGATTAAGAACCATTAAGATCATTGAGCATTCAATACGTGCTACTAAGCTTTATAGTATCGTACAATATATAGCATTGGCTGAAGGTCTATCATGATGGTCTCTCATCGTGTTAAATAACAATAGGCAATTCCAGACCATAGACTAAATTTTGATCTAGGCAAGAAGAACAAAATCCATCAGCATAGCTAGAAAGAGCATGTTGAAATTAGTAAAAGTGCAAATTTTGACCGCGAAATGTTGTAAAATGCGGAAAATATAGCCCTGCGAAATTTGCAAATTTTGTATTAATTTGTATTACGCGCGGGAAAATGCACCACATTTGGGCCAAAAGTGGTGCAATTCCCCGTGCGTAAAGGAGCGTTATACAAATTAATACAAAATTTGCAAATCTCGTACATAAAGCTATATTCTCCTCATTTTACAACATTTCGCAACCAATTCAAACTTTGCAATTTTACAAATTTTAACATGCTCTTTCTAGCTGTGGTGATGGATTTTGTTCTTCTTGCCGAGATCAAAATTTAGTCTATAGCTGGAATCATCCACTGTACAGTTGCCTTAAAACATTTCTCGAATAGGGATTTTATCTATGAAACGAGTTGTTTCAAACACTTTACATGTGGAGAACAAAATTATAGACGTCTGATAATAGAACGTCATCTTACCATGCCAGTAATTCCATCAGTTGGGGTACTGGTGTAAGCTCCTCCCAGACACAGGTAACCTGCATCACACTGAGCACGTGGGTTTGGTAAACCAGGCGCATCGCAGTACCTGGAAGCAAACCAAAAAAAATGTTATTATATATAAATAAAAAAAATTGGGAGTACTGTATTATCTAATAATAACACATTCTAAAAACACCCTGGTTAAAAAATCCGGCCCTGGTATACGTTAATCTAAAATAAACACTGTTTGGGTAACTTAATGTTCCTGGTTAAATTTCCTGGTTAATTTAACCACATGCAGTCCTGGTTAATTTGATTACTATCGTGCATGGACAACAATTCTTGGTTAATAGTCCACCTATAATTATATAACATGATCTGGTTAATTCAATCATATACAGTAGCCTAGTTAAATAACCAGGAATCCTGGTTAAATTAACCAGGACTATGATTAATGAAAATTAACCAGGAAATTTAACAGCAGCATTAAGTTACCCCAAGAAAAACGTTAACCGGGGTGGGGTACATTGACACGGCCACTAAGGGTGTTTTTAAAGTAGACTTAAATACAGAATGGTTCTAAGATCGCTAAACTGACATATTAAATATTTAAACTAACTTAAATAAACTTTATGAAACAAAAAGACTGGCAGTGAATTTGAAGGATTCCTATACAGGGTGTATAAAAAAACTGAACAGATTTGAAATTGCTCTCAATTTCGCAAAACACCTATTTGTATCCGTTTTTATATATATAGCTTCTTTGGGTACTTATAATGTAGAATAATGAAAACAGGGGGGTGTGTCTTTTC